TTCTCACAGCACCTGCACTTCTGCCGTGAACCAACAGCCACATGCAAGGCAGAGCTGACACCAGTGATGTAACCCTGTGCTCAGATAAGAATTACAGACCTGAAGAGCAGCCACACTGCTGGGCAAAGCAATCACTTTCTACTACTCCACCACAGGAGAAATGAAACTCAGTTTACCAAGAATCTGTGGTTCCTTGCACCCTGCTTGAATACAGCACTGTGTGAAGAATCCCACCTTTCCATTAGAACTTTTTCACAGGCATGAACTATGATACTGTATGCTCAATGTTCTAGATCTGGACACAAAAACCACAAGGAGAAAAAGATTGCTTTTGATATACTTGAGGGCGGAAAGATCACAGTTTTCCATGTTAGAAGTCTTGTCACCACAAAACCAGACAACTCTCACATTTCTTGTCACATATGCATATTCCCATTCTTAGTCCACTGTTAGTTTAGCAAAAAGATTTTCATTTACACAAGATGGACATTAAGTTGTCATGCCCCCTAAAAAACCTGCTCATTAGCACATCCAGAACACAGGCCTTGGACAACAACTGAAGTGCACATCTGTATTTAAAACACTCAAACTGTAAACCAAACCTATCAATACAAGCTCTACACAGTTTTCTCTATGTGAGATGAAGACACTAATAAGATAAGCAGTCTGGGCTCACTGTTTATACAGTGAGCCACATGAAGAAGCTGAGACAACTGAGTTCAAAAAGAGCTTAAGATAACACAAAGTAATGGAGAAGACAAAGGTCTCTACTCCCTTAATACAAAAGAAAAATTAAATAAAATAAAAAAATCTGTGGGAAAAAGGGATAAATATTTTTCTCCTAGATCTTGTCACCAGGAGACTAGAATGTTCATTTTTTTGAAATAAAAGGACTATGACAATTTTCAGCTGACTGTGAAAACTTTCACTTCTTGTGAATAGTTCAAGAACAGTTCTTGACTGCAACACCTATGTTTAGAAGGTCTGTAGCATGGAAGTGAGTACAGAACTCTGATCCACAAGAGGGCACAGAGCAGAGTTCGTATTTACCAGGAAAGATGTTTACACCAGCTTCTGTGGAAGTTTTCCTCACTCACAATCCAGCTAGGGGTAAAAAGAGGGCTATTAGCAAAGTGCAGGTTCACCACCATGACACCCAGCCCCTCCTGCCAGTCTTGCACAGTGACATACGATCAGCACATGGGTGACACACGATCAGCACATCGAAGCCCAGCTGAATTGGCACTCACAGCACTGGCAGGCTCCTGAGAAACACACGAGTGTGCCAGCACTGAGCAGAACTGCTTGCACTGAAAGCTGGGCCAGTTAGTGCACTTGTCCCACTGTATCTCATGCCCAGGTAAGATTAATGACACTAAATCTTCTCTGGAGCACGGAGTTAGATATGTCTGAACTTGACATGCCAGTGACCTACTTTTCAGACATGCCCAACACCCACGTCTCCCTCTGAAGACAACAAAAGACAAGAATTTGTTGTCTTTGCAAATTCAAAATTTGCAATTTTGAAATGGCAGTGCATGCTTTTAATATTGAGGAAGCTGATAACAGCTTAGGATCAGCTGTGCACATTAGGAAAATCCCACTCTAGCTTCACATGAGCATACACTGCTATGGATCACTCAAGACTCTACATGTTTGGCTATATATGTATGCTGATTCCATGTGTTTGCTGGCAGGGAAAGAGCATGGAGGAAAGCTAGTAACTTCTCAGAGTCATCCTGCATTAGATTTATACATTCCTGGATATCAAATTTTGCCACTATTTTAACTCCCACCTGTCTAGACAGGTGCATCCTTTTTCTTAGAAGAAAACCACAAAATATCTTACCCCTCCAATGCATACCAGCTGTACTGTAGATACAGGCTCAGTCTATTTTGCCCAGATATAGAATTAGAAAATCCACTAAGATTAGGACACAATGAACATCACTCAATTATCACAAGTGACCAGGATTCAGAAGATAAAATCTATGAGCATGACCTGTACAAATGACACATACTAAAAAGGAACTCCAACCCTGTTTGGTATACAAAGTTTTGAGAATCTAGTTAAAAATGTAAACACGCTTTGCCTCCCCACTTCCCACCCCAATTTCTTCTTTCCCCCGGCTTTGTCTTTCTTTATGAGGAATAACCACACTCCCTATTATTACATAGTTTTCATTTTATTTCTTAAAATATATGCATGTATGTGCTACAAACACGCAGGGCTATATAACACATTACTACTGCAAGCTGTAGCTAAAACCACTTTTGTGTCTTTTAAAACCAGATAACACCGCTAGTGCCATACGAAATTGGGACCAGAGACCAAGCTAGCTCCTGCTTTTAAAGGTTTAGGTGTATAGGGCCACATCATGCAGCAAAGAAAACCTTTAAAGTGGCACCTAGCTGTTGCACATGCAAAGACTACCAACAGCTTCAATAATAATGTGTTCAACCATTCACCAGCAAAACAATTCCTCCTTCACGTACAGACGATGTCCCAGCCTGAAGCAATTGCCGGAGATGGCAATTCCAGCTGAAGTTCTCTGTAGAGGTTTCAGAATATTTTCCTCATATGAGCAGTGCATATCACAGGGAAATGTGGACAAAACTCACTTATTTAGTTAACAAGTAATGGGACAGATAACATCTCCATAACTATCCTTAACAGTTTCTGGGAAGCTCTAAAAGCCCTCCACATTCCATGGCCATTAAACAACCATGTCAACACTGACAGGAGAAGGCAGGTCCAAACAGGAAAAGGTGCCCATAAGGATCTGCACAAGCCTAATCATAATACACGGGTATTGAAAGTCTGACAAATTATGCTTTCACCCCAGGTAGCCTAAAGCCTGCATACTAGACTCCCAACCTGCTATTCCTTCCAAGTCAGTTTTAAACCCTTAACCTTTTAATTACAATAAAAATGCTAATGCAAGAAGAAAATGAAAGACCCATCAACCAACATCTTCATGCCTAAAGAAATAAAAGGCAGGATCATAGCTTGTAGCATGTCAAGGATGCTGCAAACAAGTCCCATAAGCAGGCACATTACCTGGTCAATTTTCTTAAACAGAAAATAGCCTGGCAACCTCCAGACTTTCCCCTGGCTTCTTCTTCACTGCTTGTTTCTTGAAACTGACATCTCAGTTACTAGTGAAAATAAAGATGCCTCAGCAATCCCCTTCCCTACACAGAAATATCAACCTGGGGCATCAACGTGTCATCAACAACTAAAGTTATTATTTTTGCTACGGTGAAGGAAGATGCAGAGATTGAGAGAGACATCTATATGAGAGGAAATAAATTTCAGTAATACCTTCTTACAGATAAAAAGAATTCGCTAAGTAAGCCTAACAAGCTATAATGAGCCCAAATAAGTTCAAGCTTTAGTCAACAAAACTTTAAATATATAAAAAATATGAAGACAATAAAATTGTGAGCATATAACAATGTAAAACTCTCTTAAAGTTTCTTCGACCGTACACTTGTTTTAAGTAGCTCAGCTCCTCTTGCAGGCAGGTATGAGAGTTCACTTGGAGACCTCAGCTTAGCTGAATTGAAATTATCTTAAATTTACACATATTTGACAGCTGAAAACTAAGTCACAGTGAGGACAAAGATGAAAGAAAATACTGTCAGTTTTTCAGAAAGCCTGGAGAGACATAAAAGCAGACACTTAACAGAACAGGCATCCATGAGAAACAGTCCATCCAAGCGCCCTTAAGTATCAAAACATATTGACATGCTGGTCAACAACATGTGTCTCTCTATCTTAGAACACAGGTTACACAGTACACCTGACCTGCAAAGAAACCCTGGCTAAAATAACTATTTATGAGCACTGCAAGAAAAATAAGCACTTATTTTGAAATAAAAGATTTTCAAGATAGAATTTTGAAGCTCTCCAGCTGCAGGGCTGAATCAAGTTTGAGCTCTTTCAGAAGAGACAGAGTTGCCCCTGGGCAGCCCCAGTCCCTGCAAAGCCCTGCTAAAGGGCCTGAAAGCATTTTCCTCATTGGCAGCTTTTCAACGTGGGATTTAACTCCAAGATCTTATCGCTGATACACGGTATTTTTAAACAATTACCAGGAAACGTTTGGAGAGGGGAAACGGGAACCAAAACTACTATTTCAGCCAGTGCCACGACAATCTTTAGGCAAGGTGAAAGATCTCCACAGACTCCCCGGCAATCCTCGTGATGAAGGGGATCTCAAATCCCATTTTACCCACGCTAAGAAAAGTCACTCAAGTCCTGCGAGTTTCCGCGGCGCTCCAGCCCGGTCACTGTCCTGACCCACACAGTGTTGGAGGAGGAGTGGGACACTCCGCTGGAGACCCCTGCTCCAGGGGGACATGATGTGTCTGCCTAAAGCATTGTCCCCATGTCGGACCGCCACCTTGACGCTTGCCCGGGCTCCGGGTGGTGGAGCCTACAGTCGCACCGGGATGCTGGTGGTCTGCCTCCACCATCCCTCGCCGGCGGGACCACCACCTCCCGCTGGTGCTGGTGATGGGGAACCACCATCCAGGACCCGCATCGCGGGCCCAGCAGTGCCACCATCACCGGCAGCAGTGGTGGGAGGTGACAGACCACCGCCGCGGCCCCGCTGGACACCCGCTCCCCGGTACCTGTCTTCGGAGACGCTGATGACCCCGTCCTCCTTGGGCACTATCGCTGCCATGTTCACCACCTCCTGCGAGCCCTCCACTTTGTTGAGCAGGAGGGGCTTGCGAGTCAGCGCCTTGGGCTGGGGCTCCGCCGCCATGGGGCCGGCGGGCACCGCCGCTGCCGCCGGAGGAGGCTACGACCGGGGGAGGGAGGGAGGCGGCCCGCAGTGCCGAGGCGGAGGAGGGACTTGCCGGAGCCGGGCTCTCCCTGGGAAGCAGGGACAGCAGGGACAGCAGGGACAGCGCGGCGGCGGCACCGCCCCCGAGCGGGCAGGGCAGGGCCGGGCCGGGCCGGGCGGGGCGCGGCGCCCGGAGGGGCGGGAAATGGCGGCTGCCCGCCGCCATCTCGCGGAGCGGGCCTGCGGAGCTGCGCCTTGGCGAAGGGAAAGCTGCGCTCCGGAGGAGCTGTGAGCGCACCTCTCCTGCCAGGGCTGCCCTGCCCGGCCGCGGGCTCGCCCCAGGGACAGCCCGGGGAGCGCGTCCCTCGCTGAGCCGTGCCCGGTTATGGACTGCCGGCACCCTACGGCTCCGTGCGGTCCGTCCCACACTGCTGTGGGCGCCGGGCGAAAATAACCCAACGCGGGTAAAGATTAAGCGGAATGTTGAGCGAAAGTATCTGCATCCCTCTGTTTACATTTTCCTATCTTAGTTTTTCCTGGGACTGAAGGAAATGGGATTTCTGCTGCTGCATTAGACAGGGACGCTGGCAGGCAGGGCTGCACCGCGGCGCCAGCAGAAATTCTCTTTCAGAAAGCTTATTCCTAAGGGAAACGCAGCAGACTTCCAGCAGCTCGTTCTTCTTTTCACTCGCTTTTCCTGACAGATTCATTGAGCTCCGAGAAAGATCACTTGCCCAAAGCTCTGTGCTGAAACCAGTGAAAAGACAGCTTCCTCCTGAGGCATATGCCAAACTTTCATAATCTGTCTCGAAACATTCTGGAAAATCATGCTCAATGTCTGAACTGCTGTCCTACATTGCAGAAGTTGTCAGCAGATTGGAAAGTGCTATTTCAGCTGCAACTTTAAATTTACCCACACTAAGCCCAACGAACTGTGGTTTTCCTGGGGAGGAAAAGGAAAAAAAAAAATTCATGTATGAAAAAATTAATTTTTTTTTTCCAGGAGTAGAATACAGCAGCGCCTGCAATAGGACAAATCTTGATTGCCCACTCACACTTCTGTTGTCTATGTAGTAGACAGAGGCAACAGAGGAAAGATAAAGTCAATTCCTTGTGACAGAAATGAAATTTCACCATGTTTAGTAATCTCTTATCTGCTCTCTCCTAAATAAACAATCAGTGTCTGCAGGACCACAACAAGACATTTAAGCTTTCTCAACTAAACGTGACAGGTCCACAAGTGTACTGTAAAAGGAAAGGTCTGGTCAGCAACAGCTGGATTACAGGATATATGTAGAATTTGCAGATTCTACAGAATCTGCAGTCTCAAACTATTTCCCTGAGGATGTGTGATTGGACTAGATAATATTTCTTCCTCATCATTCTTGGAAGGGAGCTACTACTGAAGAGTCAAAGACCCCCCTTCTTTCTGCTGTGGATGATCCTGCAGTCCTAGGCTAGACCTACAGGTAGAAATGCTTGTCTCACTACTTGATTGATGAGGTATGAGGTACTCTCTGAAGATTTATATACTTTTTAGTTTTCAGAATATATCTAAAAATGTCTTTTGAACTGAAATCTGGTAAGGTCTACTGACCAGCAGTAGTTTGCTCTCAAGATTAGGCATTTTGGATCACTGCCAGATAAACAGGGGCTGAGCATATGCTGGAGACAGCAGTCTGCAGGCTCTTGGGAGATCCAGAATCCATTTTCCAAAAAGGTTTTCAAGGAAGAAAGTAGTTGAGAAAATTAGTGTCTTGATAGGCAAAGGTGTGGGTCATGGGACTGGAAGGAGTTGTTTCTGTTGCCTACTGAAACATAACTCTTCCCTATTATCTTGTCTCTCTTATACCCTTAAACAGTTCCAGGTCCAACTACTCCTTCAAGGTTTAAGACACTGTTTAGAAAAAAACACTGAAAGGCAAGCATACATTTTGGACTGAAGTTAAATGTTAATATGACAAAGTCAAATATATGCTTTATATAAATAGTTGATCTTTGGAAGTAAGTTTCCTTTGGGGAGAAAGGAAGGGGAGAAAAAAAAATACTACACAATGCAAGAGAGATTCCAGAATTCCAGTGGCTATTCATGATAAAATTCTTGAGGGCATTTTTTTAAAGCTTATCTGTAATGGTGATTTCCTCTGCAAGACTGGGAAAGTACTTGAATAATAGAAAGGTGTCCTGAGGTCTAGTACATCATTTTACCAGGTGTGCAAACTTGAGGTCAGTGCTCGACTCTCCCTGATGATATGCAGAAATAGGGTTGAGGAATTATGGCACACAAAAGCAATTTTGCTATGACTGATGGAAGAAAAAATAATGTATGGAAACCTGGGGAGAGGAGAAGAAATAGAAAGATTTCAAGGTAGGAACCTGGACCTTCCTCTTGCACTCTCTCCAACAGGCTTAAAGAGTATTGTGATGCTGGAAAATGCATGGAAATTGCCAAGAAGACCTGACTGTTCTCCCCCGTCTACCACTGTCACACAAAACAATAAACAACTTTTAAAAAACAATTTTCCTATAATGACAAAGTTGGTAACATGTCTTGTATGACAGTTCAGACAAAGTTAGAATTGCTGTAGATATCAAGTTTAATGAGAATTTACAGAAGCAAAACTAAGGTAGTTTAGAAAAGTGTTTCCCCATATAACTGAAAAGAAAAAAATCAAGTAAATAAATCTCATAAACACTTCCTAGAATATCTTTTTCTCATTTTCTGTCATAGCTTTCAGGTCAGATTGCATGGATTAAAAATTCTGCTCGTACTGAAAGCAGGACAACTTAGTATCTGAATCTGAAGGTAAGAAAAGCAAGCTTATTCAATTACTTTTCTTCATTAAAAAATGTTGTGGGATTAAGAATTATAAAATATTCCTCTGGTATTTGCTCTTTGAAAGAAAATGCAAAAAGTACATGATGACATAATTTAAAGATTCTATTTCTTGTCTAGTAGGTATGCTTGGATTATGTGAACTTTCTTGGAAGAGTGTATCCACCAGTAAGACAGAATGAAAATCAAGCTGAAAAATGCAGCTTACTTTATATCGAATTCATATTACCTCATCTTTGGTTCTTAGCGTCATTTCTCTTACTCTGCATTCTGGTGTGACATCACGGTAAATGACACATCCATCCCTCTGTTAGTTTTGGCCTTTCTGTTCTTGAGGCAGGCTGACTTTCTTTCATTCTTTTGATTGGAGTAGAGCAAAATTAGGCTCTCTGCCTCCAAGCAGCAGTTTTACATGGCTCATGTTATTCACACACAGGGTGAGGACAGAACACCCCGGGGAAGCAGCTGTGCTGGTTCCAACTGATGTGTTCATACACAATGGAGCCTCTTTCCATGCCCTCATACTGCAGCAGAGTCTCCAAGGACTTTCTCCAATTCCTTACCTGCAGTCTTGTTTGGAGTTCAGGAGTTGGAGCAAACCGAATTCCCCATCTTCTCTGGCAATTTGCTTTAAAAGTTTCTCTCTGGCTCCATCTTCTGTTTGGTTGCTTGGGTTTGGGATTGGTTTTTTGTGTCTATTTATTTTGACATAAAAGTGTGAGATTCTTCTAAGTTTTACATACTAAAGTTGTTTTAAAAAGTAGGTAATCACATCTTGTGTAACAGTTTAGACAAGCAGAGAGAACCCTGACCTGCAGATGGAAAGAGTGGCCCAGAGAGGAAGGAGCTGAAGGTTCCCAGCTCTGCTGTCAGCCCTGTATTTACAGATTCTCCTGTTCTGCAAAGTTGTTACTCTGGTTACAAGATGAGGTGAAATCCTTTGACTGAAAAGCACAGCAACGTGTTCTGTTTTGGTGTAATTGTATTTTTCTGCATAATTATGACCATTACATGATCTGGCAATGTAAGTAACATCTCTCATACATTTCAGCTGAAACTGTGAAGCTCTTGGGCCACTGAGTAGGCATAGGACAATTTAATAAACAGATTGGTCTTTTTGTGGGTGGTATGAAGAACAGCCTTTTACAAAGTGCACAACAGTAATAAGAGTAAAAGTCATGAAAAGAGGCCTCTAATAAAAAGAAAAAAAAAAAAAACTGGTTTATGGTGATTAGTTGCTAGGCCCAAACTATCCATACCCTTCTGAGCCATTTTGAGCTTTTTGAGCCATCCTGCAAGAAGGGAACTAGTGTGGAAGCAAAATTGCCCTTTGGCTGATTCAGTGCTGAAATTTAAAATTGCTCTGTTGACAGCAAGCCAGATTTTGGCTTCTGAGGCCTCTTCCTTAATCACCAATGCAAAATCAAAGAACTTAGATACACAACAGATAACCATATAAAATAGCTAAAAAACATTTCTCAACAAGTAGACTTGACTCTCAATAGTCATTGAATACCGTGTTTTACTCTCTCTCATGCTTTTCTTCTCTGTTCATTTGTAAACTAAATGTTTTCCAGCTTTACAATATATGCAATTTACAATTTCTTCTAGACCTGCATTTTCATGCAACTGCAAAAATGCATGCTTAAAATTCTCATCTTCTCCTATTTTGTCATCAGTGACAGCCTTCATAAGATAGTTACTGAAAGGTATTTTTAATTTCAGATGCTACATCATTCTTGGAAGACTGTGGGAAACAAATATAGATGGGCTCTTTATATAGGAAGGCAAACCTCATGAAGTACCAAAATATTCTGTGGAAAATGTACTTGTCCATCTTGCCTAAAAATATGAAACTTGTTACAGAAATGCACCTTCAAATTTAATCACTGCTCTTTATTTTGTGCCAGGTCTTTATCAGTCACACAATTAATAGTGTACCACCTATCACATTTCTATTACCAAGCCCTACATGCTCATTGTGACAGTTTTTTTCTAAATTTAATTAGTTTTGATTTATGTGGCCATTGAGAAAATTAGGATCTATGAGAAACAGAGCTTGAATCTGCTCTGAGTCAATGTTATGGAGAGAAAGATTAGCATTAGAAAATAAACATGGCAGTTCCACTGTGTAGCACCTTCTCGAGAAAATATATACCCATTTTTAGCTGCCATGCAAGTGCTGTTGGCTTTGTAACTGACTGTGAACATGTGAGAACAAAAAAATGATGCTGTGTCAGTGTGTGGGCTGCAACTGAGAACTCCTGGCTCATACATTTTGCCCCATAAGCAGTTCTGGCATTGTATGCAGTCTTATTGCTGTTTTCTTTGTCCTCATTGATCCTGCTATACTGTTACTCACATTTTGGGCTCCCAACTTTCTATAAAAAAAACTCTGTAATTTAATTCACTGTCTTTTTGGTAGAACATTCTGACCACTAATTCTTCTAAGCTCATTATTCTCTTTTTTTTTTCTAGGCCTAAGGACTAAAGACGTAAACATCTTTAAACATTTTTTTTTTCTTTCCTAAATCTTCCCTCTGTGATATTGAAGAATCATAAAGTATCATCACCAAACACAATTTTGTATCTGGAAAATGCATTGAAATCACCTATGTAACCTGCATGAAAAGTAAATAAATTTGTCTTACATTATGCATGAACTATATGAAAGCTTTGAAGTATTTCCTTTTCTACCATCTAAAGTGTGCAATTAAGAACATATCCAGGGAATATCAAGGAACAACTTCTTACAATAATTTTTGTACATTTGGCTTTTGGGTTTTTTTTTAAAATTTTCTCACTTTTATTACACATGGGTCTACAGTAGATGTTGTTATATTGACAAAATGCTTTCAACCATCTGAAACTTCACAAAGTTCAAGAAAGCCAAGTGCAAGGTCCTGTAGCCAGATCAGTGTATTACCAATACAAGCCAGAGGATAAATGGATGGAGAGCAGTCTTGCAGAGATCTTGGGAATACTGGTGAGTGGAAAATTGGGTATGACACAGCCATGTGCACTCACAGCCCAGAAGACCAGAGCTGCAACAAGAGTAGTGTGGCCAGCAGGTGCAGGGAGGTGATTCTGCTCTGCCCTTGTGAGACCCCACCTGGAGTGCTGCATCCAGCTTTGCCATCCCCAGCACAGGAAGGACATGGACCTCTTAAAGCTGGTCCAGAGGAGAACCACAAAAATGGTCAGAGGGCTGGAACACCTCTCCTATGAGGAAAGGCAGAGACAGCTGGGAGCTGTTCAGCCTGGAGAAGAGAAGGTGCCAGGGAAACATTGCAGTCTTTCAATATATAAAGGCAGCCTGTAAGAAAGACAGAGAGACTTTTTACAAAGGCTTGTGGTGGCCTGACAAGTGGCAAGGGTTTTAAAATGAAGGAAAGTAGGTTTAGATTAGGCATAAGAAGAAACTTTTTGCAAGGAAGGTGGTGAGGCACTAACATGTTGTTCAGGCACAAACATGTTGCTCCATCCCTGGAAGTGTTCAAGATCAGGATGGATGTGGCTCTGAGCAACCTGGTGTAGTGGAGGGTGTCCCTGCCCGTGGCAGGAGGGTTGGAACTCAGTGATCTTTAAGGTCCCTTCAAACCCAAACCATTCTGTGATTCTATAATCTGAGTGTACAAAGAGAAAACCGAGAAAACCAAGAAAACTACTATTAAAATATAAACTAAAATTAAAAATATAAAAATATTTATTGCTTGTTAATATTGAAAATACCTTTCAAGAAGGAATGAAGGAATAATTAAAAAATACAAGAAGTCTGATACAACTTATGGCTAAAAGATCCTAGCAATGCTACTGCTAACAAAGCTCTGGCATAATTTTAATATATACATTTTAATAGAAGGTTTTTGGAGCTGGGAAGTTTTCTTGAAGTCAAGCCATTTTTACCCCTTACTGCAATTATGTGAAAAGCTCCATATTGTACAAAGCATCTGAGGCCCTAAAAAATAGGTGGAATCTTTGCTAAGCTGCCAGTTTTCTCAACTCCAACCTGTGACAAAAGACTGCTTTAAAAGCTTGTGGCTCCTAAAGGAGGGCAGCTGAACTCATCCCTCCTGTAGAAAATTATTTCTGCAAAGAAGTCCCAAGAAGCAGCTTGAGAGCAAAATTGCAGAAGTTTCAGTGTATACAGGGATTTATGACTCACTGCTGCAGGGCCATTTTGAGTTAAAAAATAATCCCAGATTGTCTAATCAAACCTTTGCATGTCTTATTCTGTGCCAACATTATGTGCTACCTTCTCTTTAGCAGGCAAGTCACCATTTCTGGCCATCACTATGGTGAGAGGTTCCTCAGCCTGTGAGCACATATAGACATCCCAGTAATGCCACATTTAGATGGACATTATCATGGATGGTGTTGTAGAGCATTTGATCCTGATTACTTCCTGGCCACTCCTGATAATTTTTACTCTAGATAGATTGCAGCCAGAATGTCTGATTGCTTTGAACATCTTGCATTGTAGTAGGCCCATATGTTTACTGTCACAATCTACAGAGTGCCCTTTGATTTTGAAGAGAGAACCATATCTGAGTCAAGTTTAGCTGCTTTAGGGAGACTTCTGGGACAGGAGTGGGTGTAAAAGCACTCCCCACTGTAGGACATCCACCAAATGTTAAAATTCATGAAAGTGGGAGAAATACACTTTATTGTAAAAGGGGAAATGCTCTAGAGACAAGAGGTCACATGTATTTGGAGGGCAAAACCAATTATTCAGTCGTGTCCTCATCTGTAACTCAGTGACCTCCTTGTATAAAAATATCATCTGACAAAATAGTAGAAATACTTCTGTGAAGACTAAGGAACTGACGAGTGTACAGCTTGTAGCTCTGAAAGTGCACAAGGAAATTCCAAATGGGAAGACAAAGAAAGCCTGTGAGTCTCCATCTGGAAAAGAGGAGAGAAAAAAGTTACACTCTCAGTAGTTTTTATTAGCCCACAAAATTCATACTAATGAGCCCCAGAATAGCCTCTGTATTGTATGCTTAATATGAGCACTGAACAATTTTCACACAGAGGCTCTAAACCAGGTATCAGTATCAAAAGATAAAGGTGCTCCAAAAACTCCATAATAGTCAAGCGATGCTCTTGAAATCAAAATGACTTGTCTGGCATGTTAGATCAGTTCCCAGTAACAGGAGGGAACTAAGGCAAGTTATTTTCCAGTGACCATGACAAGAAATAATAAGAATTGGCCATATCTCCCAAAGTGTTCAAATGAGAAGACACTGGAGAAGAGGACGGGTAGTAATTAAGAACATGTAAAGATTCTTTCAACTGTACTGAATGAGTGTTAGAAACAGGTTTCTCTGTCTGAAGAAAACCAGAAGTAGATATGCATGTAGGCACCTACTTAAATTAAACAAATAAACAAAAATCCTCAAACTCCCCCCACCAAAAAAACCAACCAACCCCAAAAAAAAACCCCAACAAAACAAGCAAATAAAAAACCAACCAACCAACCAAAAAAAAAAAAAAAAAATCCTCACCAAGCTGAAAAAGAAACCTTTTGCCAAAGCTAGAGGGACCAAGACCAAAACTGTAGCAAGAAATTCAGGTACCTTCTCCAGCTGTCTAGCTCAGAAAACAGACTAGACATTGTTCTTTGGGTTCTGAGGCCAAACTGTGTGTCCAACTTTGCACTGCAGAACTAGGTTTTCTTCTTTACCCAAAAGCGATGATGTAAAATCTCTTTTGAGGAAATTACTCCTGCTCCATGCTGTTCTCCAAGCCAGATCCATGTACCATCTCAGAGGTTCCTAGAGGCTTCATGCTAAAATTGCCAAGTAATCTGCCTATACATCAATTGCAAGAGCTCTGCATAGAATACAAGAGCATTGGCTTCTGAACCTTACCAGTGTAGATCCAGTTGATAAACCTTTCTCCAGGGTTTTGGGACCTTCCAATCCAGCAGTTTGGACACACCAACTCTTCCATTGCAGAAGCAGGTACCAGTGGGGCATCAAGCAAACTTCCTGGCACTTAAGGAGCTATGTGGAGAGAGTCCCTGGCAGCTGCCAGGACCTTGACTACTAGAGGAGCACTTGTATGCAGGCAGCCTTATTTCTCTCCCTCACAGTGGCACACATTGAAGCACAAGCCATCCTCTCAAGCACTTCACTGTGCAGATTTATGTTCTAGGGACTTCAGCACCTGGCTTGCAGAATATTTCCACAGGATGTCTGACTGGACCTGTATCAATCAGCATTCAATTCCTTGACTCCCTCCTCTGGGAGATGAGTGCCAGATGTTAGGGTCTCTCTTACCTCCTCTTTGATACAATCCTGCCTGACAATTTTCCTCTCACAAGTGCCGATAACCGAACAGAAAAAAAAAACAATCCAGAAGAGAATCCAGGACAACTTTCCTATGCAGGGATAGGCAGAACCTGATCTGAATGGGGAAGAGGAAAGAAGGAATGGTTGTGCAGCTGCAGCATGATTTCATACTGTGAACACATCACTCCAGTGCCTTCAAATCCTCTTGTAAGACTACATTTGCCATATGTGTAAAAGTGACAGTCAAAAAGGCTTTGCTACCATAGATCTTTTTAGGTATCTGCCTTTTCCCTAACTTAAAGGTGTGTAATGTGAGTTATGACATGTATTTATGAGAGTACTTTTTCTCTGAAACTATATTTTGATTGATTTCAGGGGTTTTCATTCATGTCCTTTGATTTTGGCCAAGGAAAAATATGGAACTATGTGCATCTGTGCATTGCATGTACACATACATGAACAAAGACTCAGAAGAAAGTGAGGGAAAAATACCACTTCTGACTAGACATAATTCTGAAAAGAAAATTTATACACACTTTATGCTTTTGTTTTATAATAAGAGGTGACATGCTGCTCAAGTGCTGACTTGTAGCAGAATAGATTAAAAATTCTTGGACCATCATTAGCAAGAAATCACAGGGCTGTACTTACAGAGGTCATTAGCTGTCCAGACATCTGTTGGGTAACAAATTCTGCCAAACAGAGATCATGAAGCAGTTCTTGAATTATGCAAAGGATAATTTCACAATCCAGAAAACAGAGAACTCAAGCAGAGAAAGAGCTGTGTAAGACTTTCTTATTGCCAGTTGGGAAGGAATTCACTACAGTGTCTGAATTACAGGAAAGTTTGATGCAAGTAGCAGTGGTCTGCTGCATTACTAGCAGTGCAATAAGGAACAGACTTAGATGATGGTCACAATTACAGTTATATACTCCACAAAGCAATTGACATTATGGTAAAATTTGCTGTATTAATTAGAGGGATGATGTGACAAATGTAAAAACTCCAAATGTCTCAGTGAAAACTACTGTAAAGCATATTAACACAAAAGTAATAGATTTCAGTATAGTAAAAGGGAATTAGGAAACAATGAGCAGATGCAGAAAAGGAGAAATTGGTACTAAGGTAGAAACAGTCTGAAGCATTCTAAACAATGTATAAATTAAAGCATAAGAGACTCTAATTCCCCTTGAAAAATGAATACTGTCCCATTTTTCATAAATTAACTGCAGTAGCCAGTTGGTGAAGGATCACAAATGAGTCCAATTATGCCACACGGGACTGTAATTGGGTTAAAGGGCTGTCATTTACCTCTGAAATGAGAGTTCAAATGGTATCTGTCAACCTTTGGAATCAGGAGTTATTCTGGCAACAGGAGTTACTTATTAGCTGTTGCAGAAGTCCAGGATGCAGCACAACCAGTCATTGAAAAAACAAAGAGTGAAAACATTTGTCAGGGCAAATTAGTAGTTTTGGCTTTTTTCCTCTTGGCCAGCTGAGGAGAGCCATATCTAAGCAGATAAGCCATAACTAAGCAGAAATGTCAAGAAGAACATATTGTAACTTTTTCTGAAAGAGAAGATAAAAAGGACCTGAAATGGAAGACATGAAAAAAAAAAAAGAATTGGTCAAAGAAAATAAATTTTAAAAAAACCATCTTGGAAACCCTGAAAGGTAATGGAATGGACAGAATAGTTAAAAGCCTGTTTTTTTGTCACCTTTTCATTGTTACATTTCATTCTGCAAGACTCCAGTCATATAAATCACTGCTAGCTTTATTCACAAGTCGCACAAACCAGAAAACAGAAATGCATGTATCAGTGTCAAGTTTTTAAGAAAACAGGCTAGCAGAAAATAGAAATACCTTGAAAGAGAAAATGACCAGGAGAAACTCAGAGAAAATGTCACACTTATCACAGGACTGGTGTACACACACAATCACTCTGCCAAACCTGGAGAAGCATACACTTACTGTCAATATGAATTATGGGATGGGCTTTCTTGGACTTTTTATTTTGGCCCCATGTTTGGAAAATAACCATAAATGGTATGTTGCCTTAAAAAGAGCTTACCAACAGGAAAATATTAGAACTGATCCTGAAACGTTCAAGGCTTTCCGATTGCAACACCATGAAACTGAAAGCCATATCCAACAACAAAAAAACTCATCACTGACAAAAATAGCACTGCTTGGTGAAGACTTGTTATGAAAAAAGTCTTGTAATTCAAGGTTTGCTATCAGCTGGTCTCAAGTCAATTCTAAATTTTTCCTAATAAGAAAGGCTTTTATAGTCTCTAACTCAGTAAGAATTATCCTTTTGCAATTTTCAAAGCTGTGTTTTAAGTGTTCTTCCTTCTCATTTGAAATATTTATAAAACAAGACACTATTTTTTCTGCAAATTGGTGCAGGACAGATCTGCTCACTGTGATACCCACTAAAGTTTTCTATGACAAATATGCCTTATATCAGGGCTTCAATGGGTGCATAAAAGTAGAAACGAAAAAAATCCTCTCACTTCATTTTAATTGCATCTTTTGAATTACATGCTCAGCAACAGTCCCAAACACCTTGATATAGGTCCTTGAAGGCATGAAATACTGATGACAGATTTCCTCTCTGGATGAGAGGCTTTATTTGGTTAATTGTATTCTGGGAGACCTATGTCTGTGCTTTGTAGATGGCTTTTGTAGAGATTTCCAATTAGCTACTAGTTGAGATTTGATTAAGTTTTCATTAACTGCTAAGTGGAAAAAGATCAACTGGTCCATATTCCATTCAACATCAATCATCAGCCAGCTGCTTTGCAGGGAGCAACTGAGTACATCTTTATTTTAGAGTGTATTTTGATTTTGGGCAAAAGATGGCAATGCATAATAATCACATTCAGAATAAAAGTTGGACAAAAAGCCTCTAAAATGAGGCAATATTATAAAGAAAGGACTCCCAGCTCTCAAATACCACCTGCAGGTATGATACCTCAGTGGGAAACAGCTTATGGATTAATGAATATTTCTGTCTGTTTACCAAGGCTATACACATTACATTTGCTGTTAAAAAACCCCAAACCAAACAAACCACAAAAAACCGAAAACCCTTGCTCGTTGCTTTGCCTCCCTGGGAAGTGTTTGTAGACCACGTTTTAGCTGTAAGTGCTTTATAATCCAAGCTGACTGTAGCTGAAACTGGTGTCCCTTAGCTGCTTGATTAGTGAGATAAATTCTGCACGCTTGTGTCTGGGATCCATGGTAATGGAGTTACGTTGCTATGCTATGAAATGTGCAGGAAGGTCCAGCACTTCAGGAAGGATATGATTTCCAGGGCTAATGAAACTTGGTAGTGAAGGCAAGAAGGAATGCTTGGAGGAATGAACAAAAGCAATCACTGAACAGTGACAGGGGATTGCTTAGGGTACAGGCAAGGCATCCATGCCCCAGGGAGGTTTCCCTTGGAGGGCTGTAACAACCTCCCCAAAAATAATTTAAAAGTGGTGTTGCGGAGCAATAGTATCATAGATCTGTTTCTGTCACCCTGAGGAAAGCCTGCATGGCAACATTTTGCAGGTATTTGTGCGGAGGATTCATTAACCCCCCAAACCAGAACAGATTGCTACAAATGATCTTTCTCAAACTTCCAATAGACCTAAGTATTATCTCTGGCCATTCTGGCAAGAGATTTTTTTTTTTTTTGCCCTGGCATAACAAGCAGGTCTCCTTAAACGTGTTGGTTTAGTAAATGCAGAGGACTCCTGTGTTCACGATGTGGGGGACTAGTGGGAAGCTGAGAAGTCTGTACTGGTATTTTCCTGGGCATTCTGGTGGGTTCAGTAATCAAATGGGCTGCTGCCACCAGCATCTCAAGTATGGAAAATGAGGTGGGTGAGGGAAGGGAAGGGAAGGGAAGGGAAGGGAAGGGAAGGGAAGGGAAGGGAAGGGAAGGGAAGGGAAGGGAAGGGAAGGGAAGGGAAGGGAAGGGAAGGGAAGGGAAGGGAAGGGAAGGGAAGGGAAGGGAAGGGAAGGGAAGGGAAGGGAAGGGAAGGGAAGGGAAGGGAAGGGAAGGGAAGGGAAGGGAAGGGAAGGGAAGGGAAGGGAAGGGAAGGGAAGGGAAGGGAAGGGAAGACCTTATTGTATGCTATAGGGTGTTTATGTTAGAGGGTGTTTTCTATTCCCTTTGGATCTTGGTGCACCACCGTAGGTACTCGGGACACAGAATAAATTTAAAGGCCCAGAGCTGAGACAGGGTTTTGTTCTTGACTAGAACCCTAACTTAAGTGAAAGGAACATCAGGAAGGATAAAGAATTGTAAATCTATTTGAATTCTCATGTGTGCTACCTTATTGCAACTGTAATTTTGAAAAGTTTAATTTTCCATATTATATTTAATATTACTCCATGGGACCAAATAGGAGAGCTCTTGCTCTCTTAAACACCCTTAAATACATATGAAGACAGTACATAGTCGAGAAGACCTTTCAATCAGCAATAGTAAAGAAAAAGCTTGTATCCAAGACAATTTATTTAATGACAAAAATATCCTTACCTTCTATTCAGGTGCCTTGCAACCTCTCCATCATTAACTGACCAAATTCTGCTGACAGTCAGATGACCTCAAAGAGATCAGGTTTTTTATATGAAAATAATCATACTGTACACTGCCATCATAACTTTATTTGAAGTATCTAAGTAGTCATGAAGTTCTGTCTCCCAGTACCTGCATTCAGTCTGCACAGTTAGAAAACAAGCTCTATCAAACTCCTGTTGTACCCATTTCCTTGCATTTCCACATTAACTGTTCTTCCTCTGGACGGTACACTGTTCTTCACTGTGGTTCCAACTCCCAAGCCAGGAAACAGCAAGGGATTTGGATGACTGGAGGGGTAGTGGGGAATACAAAAATCCCTAGGAAGCTTCAAAGGCTATCCTCTGGGTTTCCCAATGGATGGACAATGAAAAAGAGGCCGTCTTTGAAGATGGGCCAAGAGAAGCCAGAATGCCACTTCTTTTAGAGGTCATTGTTCTGCAGAGAAATGTACTTTCACTCTGTTCTGGTGCTAGGGAACCCAATGCGCAGGCTTCTAAAAGGTGCTAGTTTCAAAGGAAAGGCAGTTGCCTCTGCTAATCTTGGAAAAATAGGCATCCTCATTCAAGTCCTAGAATATACATTAAAAAAGTCTTCTGTTTACCTAGGTTACCTGAATTATAAGACCAATCTTACCTTTGGTAAGAATTTCAGGAAGAGGGAAAAAAACATTAGGGTCAAACCCCCCTGCATTGAAACTAGTAAAAAAACCGTACAGGACAAAACAAAACCCCCCAACAATATATGCTGTTATGTATACAAGACAAGTAAGCAATAACATTTTATTTGTATCAAAAAGCAAGTGAGTTGAATGTAGAGAACATGGCCAAAAAAAAGAAGACACAAATATTAAAAGATAAATTGAAACTCAAATGCTGTATTAAAAAAATATGTTTTAATGATATGCAGTAGAATTAAATTAAGGAAATGGAAAACATGACTTAAATACGGGGGGAAGCGTTTAATGACAATTGAAAAGGCTACAGAACTATATTCTAAAGGAAGCTCAAAAAAATTTCCCTATATCATTAGGACCTGGACTGATTAAGATCTGGAAATTTTCTTTGTGAAAATAATTCCATATGGAGGAGAAAGACGATTTAAAAAAAAAAAGTTAAACTATCAGTTTTAGTTCTCAGACCTGCTTGAAGGCGATTAATGCAGCAACTTCCATTCAAGCCTGAAGTTTAGGACGGGGGGCAGGGGGTTTAGGTATATTTTTACACTTATATTTGATTTTCAGTTTATTGACTTAGCATTCAAATGTAAAGTAAATCTGCACCTACAGTACTACCTTATTTGTTCCCAAATGGGCAACACCTATTCTCTGAAGATGAGAAAACAAAATATTCTTAGGCATACATATACACTCATGCTTCCTCATGGATGTACAAGATACACAAACCTGTATGGAAGCAGGTGGAATCTTTTACATCATGAGGACAGCAAGAGTACTTCTCCATCCAGAATCTTTCTGAAATCATTCATCTTGACTCAGAAGAAAAGGTAGAACTGGCTCATTTGGACTGTGCATGGGGCATCACTTTGCCCAACATATTAAAAAAAAAAAATTAAAGATGCATCTATTTTCAGTGGCAGCCTCACTCTGTCTCTCTGCTCAGCTGTGTCAGCTCTGTCAGTAATGAGCATAAGCACTAATATCACTGGGGTTTGCTCCTTGGCAGCCATTCTCCCACATAGATTTATAAATGCAACTCTGATGGCAGTACCAGCCATTATGACTCTCACATCAAGAGACTGATGCACACTTAAGGCTTGGGTTGATTACCTGTGTTTGAAAGAATCTTTCTCAGTATTAATCAAATTGGCCTGCTCCCAGCAGCAAAGTACCAATGCCTACCACAGACAGCATGCACCTGGCCGTGATTCTGACCTATAGCAGATCTAATATGGATCTAATATAAGATGCATAGGAGTGGGAAGGACTGAATGCTCCAAATGGCCTCAAAGATAACAGCAAAAGGCATACAGAAAAGTACAGTAAATTAGTTTCCTTGTATAAATCCCATTGGAACTGTGTATAAGTTTTTTATTGTGGGATTCTTCCATCAGTGATAATTACCAGGGCTGAGGGAACTAGAGGTAGAGTGGGGCCAGCTGCTTCAGTCTCACTTTCCTCCTGCATTGGCAAGACAGTTACAGCATGCCTACAGCTTGCAATTTTCACAGTTTCTCCCTCACAGAATCCATGCTGGTTTATAACTACCACCATGAATGAACATGGCCTTTTCAACGATCTCTCTTCATTTACTGGCAACAAAACATAAAAATAACAAATGCCCTTCCAGGATTTAGGCAACGTCTTCATGCTACAGGCTGCCTTTCACCATGACATTTTCTTGGTATGACAAGGACTCCAAAATGCCTCTTTTCCAGCCCTTTGAAAAAGGAACCACTCCAGAAGTTTCCCATTTTTCGGATGTTCCCCAAGAATATGCATGATGTTTTACACATAGAAGTGATTATGATTTTATTAGGATGGTCAACATACAAACAGAGGGAATATGGCATGTCTGAACAATGTGCCTGTCTCAGAAATTTAAAAGGAAGCTAATTAAAGGCCATCATCACACCCTCAGTCAACATTACTCCCAAATAAAACTACTAATCCCAAGGCATGATTTGCTTAAGCAGCACTGCAGCCTACAACTTGAATCCCACCACCTTAGGGAGACAATTACTACTCTTCCAACAACCAGTCTTGCTTACCTTAGGAGCTGTACAAGATACCTTTAATTTTCTTTGGGGACCTGAGGGGACAGAAGGTGTCCCAAAATATCTCTGTAGAGAGAAAATAACTGTGAACCAAGCCTCTCTGATAGTCCAAATGTTTTACTGTGTAACAGGGACTGGCATGCAGCTGCATTGCCAGTAACCCAGCAATGTGGCCTCTGTGGCATCTGCTGGTTTTCTCCCTCTGACAGGAGGGATTCAGATTTAACAGTAGAACCTGTACCAGAACAGTCTTGATGCAGGTCATGAGACCCAGCACCACTGCTAGAGGTCTAATAATGAACTGCTGGAAAGACACAAGCAGCTCAGAGCCACACATGAGCTTGGCCACTCTCATCACCAGCAGCATAATCCACAGTGAGAAATAATCATAGTAAAAGAAGTTACTGCCAAAGTTGCTGTATTTTGAACTGCACCAAATCCAAAGATTTCTTCCCAGCTCTCCTAGGGTCCTTAAGATGGGAGATATTTTAACAGCCTTGAATAGTAAACTGGGCTGAAAGGAAGTGTCCTTGATTTCACCCCAAAGCCTAAGAAAGGATGGCACAGGTCACAGGTGCAGCACCAACAGGAAAGCCAAAATAAGCTGCATGAAAGCATAAGAATGCATACCTATTTGCAATGGAAATGTGATTCTATCCCTCTCTCTTCCTAGAAATGCTAGTCTTCCATTAGTCTTAAAAAGAAGAAAAGAAAAAAGATAATAGAAAAGCCAAATTAAGTTCTTGCCTAACAAGACACAAATCTTGCCTGGAAGACCAAGATGAATTAAGCCAGAACATTGCCAATTTTGTCTTGGGAGAAGGGAGCAGCACAGTGGCTTTAAACCCTCTAGAGCAGTAGCTGAGGGAGCACATCAACTGGATCAGGGAGAAAAAAAAAATCAGTCAGATAGGAAACAGAGCATTCTCCTGAACAGATTATGCTATGAAATGGCTCTGGAGTTACTGCTCCAAGGCTGTGAGCAGAAAGAGCAGACTCAATTGCTGTGGAAAAAAAACCCCAAACCCTAACAAATTGCCAAAAAAAACGAGAACAGAGATCTTCGCCATTAATTGGTTAGGAACAGTCCATAATTACAAGATTTATATGAAGTAAATTTGGAGTGCATTAGCATGGATGAAACCTCAGTATTAATCACTGCTCGTATGGAAGGAAAAAGGTCACAGCTAAGGCTAGCCAATTTTTTTCCCCCTAAGGATCGAGTGAAAGGCCAGATCATGTCTTTGGGAATTGATCATCTAAATGGTACCAGACCGTCTTCTCCATGCTAAACCCAGCGGACAAGCCAGGCGACCCCCATGCTGCCTGCCAGGAGCCGAAGTTCCCTTGAGGAGCGATCCCCCGCTCCCTTGGCGCCGGCGGGGCTCCCCGGACCGGAGGCACTGCCGAGCACCTGGCTGCTCACAGCTCTCCCGGAGCCCCTAAGGCACTCCCCCGGTCCCGGCCAGGGGCCCACACCGCGGCGGGGGCAGCCGGGGATCTGCCCGCAGCCCCAAGGAGATCAGCAGCGCCCGGAGACGGGGCGGGGGGCGGCGCCCGCCCTCTTCCGTCCCTCCTTCCTTCCCACCCCCGTGACTCACCCACCGCTCCCGGCGGCGACAAGCCGCCAGCGCCGGAGTTACCGCCCCGGCGCTCCCCGGGGGACACCCCCGCCCTCCCCGAGCGGGCGGGTCGGGCAAGGCGCTGCTCCCGAGGGACGCGTCACTCCGCAGCCCTCGAAATAGCTCAGCGAGAGGGGTGACGGCGACAGATGCCTCTCCCCGTGGGTCCCTCCCGCGCTGCCCCTCCGCATCCCCGGCGCCCGGAGCGCACCCACGGGGCCGCGCACCGGCGCTCCCCGCCCTGCCCCGTGTCCCCCGGCCGGCCCCCCCGCCCGCGGCTGCGCCTGCGCGCCCCCGCTGCCCGCGCCCCCGCCCGCTGCGGCCGTCCCGCCCCTCCGTTTTGAATATGCTAATGAGCGGATACCGGGTCCCTATGGTGGAGCCGGGAGGCAGTCACGTGGGACGGGGACGTGTCCTTGGGGGGCGGGGCCGACCTACCCTGGCTGCCTTAAAACCGGGAGGCGAGCGAGGAAGCGCCTCAGTCAGAGCGAGAAAGTGCTGGGGTAGCGGGGCTGCGGCTGCTCCGCCTGAAACTTCTGAGTAACATCAACAGGGGGAGGGGAGGGCGGGCGGTGGAGGAGGAGGAAGGTGGTGGTGGGGGGAAGGTTAGCCAGCAGCGCAGCCCTATCCGCCTCTCCCTCATAAACCAGCCTGTGTTGGGCTGAGCAGGCCCCTCACACAAAGGAGGGCAGGGCAGGCAGGGCTGCCCCCCCCTTCCCCCCCGCCTCGGCAGAGGGGCAGCGGGGAGGCGCCCTTCCCCGTGCACAGCACTCACAGCCACTTACTCCTCTCCCGTCCCCCGTCTTCTCTCTCTCCCCTCCTTCCCTTCACCTCCCCTGACGGTTCTCCCCTCAGCCCCCCGCCCGCTGTCCATGTAGCCGTCCGGCCGCCGGCCCCTCCGCACTATGCCCATCTTACTCTTCCTGATAGACACGTCCGCCTCCATGAACCAGCGCACCCATCTGGGCACCACCTATCTGGACATAGCCAAAGGCGCTGTAGAGACTTTCATGAAGGTACCGGGCTCTGCCTTGCGAGAGGAGGCGAGAGAAAGCGAGCGAGAGTGGCTGCGCGGGGAGGGGAGGGGGCGGCAGGGAGCGGGGGGCTGCCTGGGCCGGGGGCGCGGGGCGAGGGCGGGAGCGAGCGAGTGCGTGTGTGTGCGGGAGGGAGGGGAGGGCCGGGCCGAGCCCGGGGGGCTCCGGCGGCGGCGCCGCCTCTCGGCTCACCCTCTGCTTTGTCCCCCGCGCCGCAGCTCCGAGCCCGGGACCCGGCCAGCAGGGGAGACAGGTACATGCTGGTCACTTTCGAGGAGCCTCCCTACGCTATCAAGGTAACCCCCGCTCACCCCCCCTTCCTCCCCGGCCTCCTTCCGGCCCGTCCGCCCCCCGCCCGCCTCGCCGCGGCTGCCGGCGGTCCGGGGGAGCGCGGCACACACGGGCTCCGGCGGCGGCGCTGACATCAACATGGCCGACGCTTTTCCCCTGTGCGGTGTGTGCGAGCAGCAATGAACTGTGGGGGATATTTATTCAAGTTGGGAGAAGTGACAGCAACTCCAAGGAGAGTTCGGCTTGGAAGGGGCGAGCCGGGGGAACGACCGACTTCAGCCCAGAGAGCCCCGGACTCGGAAGGGGACGGCACTTCCCTGGCCCCGCCGCGGCGGGGCGGGGGCGACGCGGGGGAAGGGGGCGGTGGGTCCACTTGACACAGGACGGTGAACCTGTTGGCGGTCGCTTCACAGCGGGTTGGCTTCCATCTGGGCAGGGCTCTGGGAGGGTGATGTATATAACTCTAAGGTTTGGGCACCGGTGGCCTCAAAGAAATTTGTCCTGTGGAACAAAGCGAAAATGCCCTTTTGGTAAATGGGGAGTTCTGAGGATTAAGAGAAATGCATCATTTTAGGCTTTTTTGGAGCAACATCAAATACTACTAACTTCTGAGGTGTTTTGTTATCATTTGTAGTGAGCTGCATGCAGCAGGGAAGGCTCTTTGTAGCCTAACAAGAAAGCAAAATTTGTATCTGCGGAATAAATCTTTTCACGTTTCTCTTTGCAGGCTGGCTGGAAGGAAAACCATGCAACATTTATGAATGAACTGAAAAACCTTCAAGCTGAAGGACTTACGACTCTTGGCCAGTCCCTAAGGACAGCTTTTGATTTATTAAACTTAAATAGATTAGTAACTGGCATAGACAACTATGGGCAGGTAGGTTGACTGTTACTAGGTGGAAAAATCTTAAAACACAAACTTCCCAGAGACAGCAATTAGCTAGTTGTCCAAAGTGGCATATTCATGGAATATTCCGTGTGAGGACTTCAAAGTAGGCAGAGCTCGGCTAGCTTGAAGAAATACAGCTAGTGAGTTTGGTACCCAACTTAGTTTTTTTGTTCTTTAATTCCAGTCATTTCTCAGCTTTTAAGCTGTGATATAGCCTCCAAGTTGACCTTTTCAGTTCAAATTTTTCCTTTCTTTATTGAGTCTGTGTTCAGTACCTTAGCTGGGGAGCATGATAGGGTTATGAAAACTTTGCTTTCTTTATACAGTGCTGAACAGTTTGGGAGATGAGCCTTTTTTCTAACAACACTGCATATCCAAAAGTACTGGAAGGAGCACTTTTTCAAAACACTGTCTTTCGAGTGAGTTTACCACAACATTTCTCTGCATAGGTGTATTTTTATAAACCTGCCTTTTGTATCAGAGCCTTGAGAAGCTGTGCTTTTTAAATCTCGCTGTTGCAACTATCCCTTTAAAACTGGATTTTTTTGGTGTGAGCATGAGAATGCTCATAAGCTGCTAAAATACAGACACTGTAGGTTAAACATGTGCCTTAGGGCTCATACAGAGTTCTTTCTGTTGCTGGGTCAAAGCCTGGATTTGTTTCACATGAAGGATGTTGCTAGTACTTTTCATGTGGGGCATACCAACTTGAATCTCTCCTTTTTGTTCGTTATTCTCATGTAATTGTGTCCACTATCTGAGGATTAATACTCAGTTCTGCTCTTCGTATTTAACATGGGAATATGGTTGTGAACACCAGTCCCCCTTCTTCCCCCACTATGTCCAGTCTAAGCAGGATTTATGATAACATGCCACGTGTGTTTGTGAAGGAAATTTGTCATGCTGCATTATATGGCTTTATCATGAAATGATCAAGTGAGCTTAAACATTCTTAAAATGCCTCCTCAGTGATGAAACTTTGATAAAGGGCTAGTTCCACACATGGGGTTTTTTCCTATGACCATCTGATGTCCTTATACATTGTGTGTAATTTTCCCATTTTTCTGGTGTTTTCCTTTAGTTACAAGTGCTATATTAATCTTTCTTGAACACTTAACCCATGTAGGTCCCTACACAAAATACTGCTTTTTCCCATTGCTACTGATAATTACTCTAATTAAACCCATGTCAAATAATTTGCTCTAAGTGAAACAGCTGTGCTCAGCTACTCAAGTGGGCAGTTGAGGTGTCATGATTGTTTTGACTCCCTAGTAGTGTTTATTACTGCAATAGCTGCTCTTTTGCCTGTGAAGCAAAGATTTTTTCTTTGATCTGTTCTGGTTGTAAGTCTCTCTGGGCTTGAACCCACTGTCACTTAAGCATGTGTTTGCTCCATTCCACATGTGGAGCTGGCTTTTGAAGAGGTATTCACAATGTGCAGTCAGGTGACTAAATAGAAATTTTCTTTTTAGCATCTGCAAAAAATAGATTAGTGTATTGCAAGTGGCAGGTCATCTGCTGCTGAAGTCAAAGGTTCCCATTTTAGCTATTCTAACCAAAACAGTATTTTTTTACAAATCAAATTCCACAAATTCCACTTAAATGATCCTTCAGCATTTGCAGTTTGAGATCTAGAGCAGCTAATTGTCCTCATCTTCACATTGGTCTTTAAAACTATGGCTTGATAGCCTGTCGTCTTCCTGTTAGTCTTGTCTACCACCTAAAATTTATTCCAGACAAATGGGTGTTTAACCATGCATAGAATGAGAAACTTAAAAATCCAGGAAAATAAAAGTGGTCAGAATGCTCAGTTGAATTTGAAATAGTTTTCCCTCAGAACATAAATTGCTGATTAACTTTTTTCTAAAGCAGCTGCAAATATTGACACTATAAAACAGTAGTTAACTGAAATTTAGCAGGCAGATATTTGAAGACTGAATGTGTCAGAGAAGATAATTTGACAAAAAAAAAGTGACATACAGACCATCTTCGGCATGGTATGTGATGTAATAAAATCCAAACTTCTGTGGGAAATTTCTCTGGCTAAAAATCTTTTGACTGTCGTGCTTATATTTTGGTATATTGACAAACTTCTAAGTTACTTGCCAAGATCTACTTGTTACAGGAAAATGAGTTGTAAAACAGACTTTTCTTACACATGCTACTGACAAGACATGATACAAGCCTGATGGGATTGTCTAGTTATGTCTGTCTTGTACCCCTGCTGAGTGTGGACTGTTAGTTTAAATGGCGGAGTGACTCAGTATACTTGATTTCTTTCAGAGTTGACCAGAGTTCTCCATCAGCTGACCTTCTGAACAAGAATGATGGCTGAACTGTCATTCTGGAGTTGGGAAAATCTGCTTCATATTTTCTTGCTACTTTAATGTTTGTATTTGTATTATGAGCACTTATCATAGTTCTCTTTAAGCAAATAGGTACTGGATTAGATACTCATAATGACTGAAGTACCATGTGATCAGCTGATCACAGGATCTCACATTTAGAACTTAAATAACACTGTCAACACACTTAGATTAATCTGTCAAGAGCCTGGAAAATTTTTTCATAGACTATTTCTGATACAAATGCTATGGTAGGGCTTTATAAATGTTTTGTCTTACTGAGGGGTTGCTCGATCCGTCTGTTTTGGAGGCTTTTGTCAAGAAAATTAATTTTGAAAAGTACACCTATTAAGGTGGCTGTTCCTTAAACTTTTGCAGCATGTTCAGTGTTATACTTCTTG